TTCCCCTGTCTATCCTTCCTGAGCAAGCTGTACCCATCCACAACAACATTCCAATCATGTGTATTATCCCACCAAGTTTCGGTGATGCCAACAATGTCATAGTTGTATTTATTTATTAGCACTTCCAGTTCTTCCTGCTTATTACCCATACTTTTCGCATTTGTATATAGGCATCTAAGATACTGATTTGATCTTGCCTCCCAGTTTTGTCCTGACCCTCCTTTCTCTCTGCCATTATAGCCCATGCTCCCTCCTATTTCCGACCCATCTCCCAGGTCTCCATGTTCCCCACTTTCCTGTGGACTTTGCACACCAGTCCCTGTCGAACCTAGTTTAAAGCCCTCCTCACTAGGTTAGCCAGTCTGTGTCCAAATAGGGTCTTTCCCCTCCTCGAAAGGGGAACGCCATCTCTGCCTAGCAGTCCTTCCTCGAATAGCATCCCGTGGTCGAGGAAGCCAAAGCCATCCTGGCGAGACCATCTTCGCAGCCAGGCGTTCACCTCCACGATGCACCTATCTCTGCCTGGGCCCCTACCTTTGCCAGGAAGAATCGAAGAGAATACCACTTGTGCTCCAAACTCCTTCACCCGTATATCTCTCTATCAGTGTTATAGAGGGCGGACAATTTATGAGTTTACCCTGTATAAGCTTTATACAGAGTAAAATGGATTTATTTGGGGTTTGGATCCCACTGCAGCTGGGTGTCTGAATGCTGGAGATAGGAAACCTGCTGAGCAGTTTTTAGTTAAAGTCTGCAGCTTTGGTGGGGTGGACCAGACCTGGGTCTGTGTTGCAGCAGGCTAGTGTTTCTGGCTTAACAAGGCGAGTCCTGCTTAGCTGTACCTTAACCAATCATTTTAAACTAAAGTACTTGAAACTGTATTTTTCACCAATCTTAGCCCATTATGAAACAATTCTTTAATCAGACCCCCACCTTAATTGATTTAAATCTTGTAAAACAGTTTCTGTCTGTTGCATAATTAATCAAAGAACCAAAAAGGAACCATACAAATAAACAATAGAGAAGTTAGGGACCATAAAGGTAAAACAATAAAATTGATTTCACACCCCACAACCATTAAGTGATTCCTTGCCAGACAGTATGACATCAAAGTTTTCTTTAAACATCTTAAGAGAGTCCTTGCTTATCTAGTGATGGTGAATACTATTGGGAAGGGAACCTTAACAGCCTAATATTACATTGTTTTGATATAATTTAGATGGAATGAGAGGATGTGACTTTCTGCTTCTTGGCTCATGGCTGCTGCTTTCCTACTATGGCTGCAAAAAAAAGGCTTCAGACGTTACAACATCGCTGATATTCTTTAAATAAAAAAGAGCTGAAACCAGATACCCCACTAGGCACAAATCTCCAATACGCACATTCACACTTGATTTTTGTCCTTAATTCCCCACTTGAACCAATCTTTTCAGATTGACCTATTCTGTTTAGACTGAGACTTCCGAACTAAAACACCAGTATCTGTCTTTCAGGAATAGGTGCTGAATTGCAGGAAGCTGTAAATTATGTGTATGGGGAAAAATAAAAATCCTGCTAACCCAGGAGTGATGAGTGGGGCTAGCCCCAAGTCTTTCCGGTACCCCATACCCACTAACAATCTCTTGCCGGTACTGCGTATTGGAGAGTACCGCCCTACTTGCACTACTGCTTCAGGCTCACCTATACTGTCAGATAGGATTCTGAGCAGGGTCACCTGCAAGTGCACAGGGATGGTGGGACTGGGGTGGGTGGGAATCCATCTATGGGACGGGGGAAGGTACCTCTCCCTAGGGTCAACAGAAGAGATCCTTGCATTGGACAAGAGGCCCCCATTCACTGTTTATTTCTCCCCACACTATCTCTCACCCAGAGTCCAGTCTCCCTCTGCTGCCATGCAGCATCATTTCCTGCACTGTCCAGCCTTCAGCCAAGGGGCTCTGAACATCCTGACTTCTTTCTCCACCATGCAGGAGGGTTTCTCTTTCTTGGGCCAGCACCGCCGCCTGGGCTCTGCCCTGTCTGGGGGAACTGCGGTCACTGCCCCACAGAGCTCCACACCCCACTGGAACACGGTTAATGCAGCCAGAGAATAACCATCTAAGCAGGGAGGGAACAGGGCTTCTGTGCACAATGGTGCAGAGCCCACAGCTGGGATCATAAATCTACAGGTACTTTGGAAGTAATAAGATAGTGGCACTGATGTTTGGGCAGACAAGCACATTTCCTGAGCTCTCCCCTTCCACACTGTTCATCACTTCAGTTGGTATCATCAAGCGACTGCAAGCTCCAAGGTTCCAATCCAGCAGGTATTTCAAGCAACTCTGTTCAAGGGTATCTGGACATTATTTCCAGGCTGCATTTCAGTATTTAACTTCTTGTTTAAGAGTCTGGGACAATGTACACTCCAGGAAAGAATCAACTGGACAAATTCATTAAATTGGACAGTGGAGTTACACCAGGACAAAACCGCACAGTCACCACTGAACTGAATTAACCTGATCAAGCAAAACTAGAACCTTTCACAAGAGTTTGTAGAAGAGCAGTTTGCTGCTATTTCTGTAAAAAGGCCAAAGTAGCAATTTAAAAATAAATCAAATCAATTTGGTCCTGTAAATAGTCACCCTTTTTACAGTTCTGTCTAGAAACACAAAACCAGACAAATAATTCTACTTGACAGGAATTTTGCGTTTTTGCCTGTGAGAGGCCCTCGCCATAAAACTACCTTTGAAGTCACGGGGCATTCAGGCCCATGATACTTTTGCACTTCAGACTCCCCAGGGCTTTGATGAGAGCTTTGGTGGCAGAAGGAAAGTTAACTATATAATTATTCAATCTATTTAACAGAATTAGGCCCAAATGAAAGCTCTAGTTTTAATTAAACGATAGAAAACAGTCATACATACTCCCTTCACTGTGGTCGCCCCATAGAGACCAATCACTAAGGGACCCCTTCTGCCAGGTCTTGTCAGTAGCAGCAAGGAACTGGTTGAAATATCTAGTGGTTCTGCTTGAAATTAACAAACACACTGGCTCAAGCTCCCACCAAGAAGCCTGGGGAAAACTAAATCCCCCTCCTTAGGCACCTTTAACAGGCAAATTTTCTCTCACAAGTAACTGTGTGTGAAACAAAGAAAACTTATAAGAGAAAAGGGACAGCATTCATATGGGAAACAATAAATCAACTGCATGGCGAATGAATACTAAGCAAAATCCCCACTTCCACAGTACATTGGGCAATGTCCTTTGCCTCAGTTTCCCCACCTGCAGATCTGACAGTCCTATGAACAAATATTCCTTTAGCACACCACTTCCCTCCTTTTCCTCCTGCTGGCCTCCATTCATGGTTTGCAGTCAGAAGTTAGTACTGTTCCCAGGACAGCATCTCTCACAGCCACTACTGTCTTCAGCCACAATATAAAGGTTGAGTTCTGAGGCTCTATTATATAACCCAGCTCTCAGTGATTCCAGGTCCGGTAGCTGCGAGGTAGGAGAAGACTTGCTGTGGAGTGCACTCAGCTATATTATTATACTATCCAGACTCAGCAGAGAAAGACTCAAGCAACTCCTGTAACCCCCTAACAAAAAGATTTTTTTTTTCATTTGGCTTGCAGTTCACTACCCAGTGATTGGAGACTGAGGTATAGGAAAAGGCAATCCCTTATTTAGGGCATATTCACTACAATTCTTCTCCCCTTTAGTCATGCAATTAGGCAAATAACATTTCATCACCCCTACAGCCAAGATTTGCATTCATTTTAATCCAAAATGGCCAAAAATTATCACATTGGCCAGGTGGGAATCACCCATGCAAATGAGGTCTCTGCTCACTCTCTCTTCCTCTAGTTCACCAATAGATGGTGAAGAGGGCTCCTTTTCTCTAAAGCCCTATCCAAATTTGCATATGTCCATGGAGAGCCTAGAGCTGGGCTAGCAGAGAGGCTGAGGGTCAGGATTGAGGGGCATCGGCAGAGGTGTTTGGGGGTGGTGAGGAGCTCAGGACTAGAGGAGCGGGGGGGCTGTGGGTTGAGATAGTGGGGTATTGGCAGAGTTGTGGGGGGGAGCCCAGGGCTGGGCTAGTACAGGGGCATCAGCAGAGGTCGCTATATGTTGCAAGCAGCTGAGTCCAGGGCTGGGTGAGTAAGTAACAGTGGGTCAGGATTCAGGGGCACTGGTAAATCTGTGTGGTTGGTGAGCCCAAGGTTGGGATGTCTGGGGGATTGTAGGACATGATTGAAGTGCATTGAAGTTGGAACCGGGAGTGCTGGTTGGTCTCTTCAGGCCGATGTTCTGTCCTGTCAAGAATTGAGGGGGGGTCTCTCCAGGATGTAATTAGGGGAGATGAACTTCATAAATTAGAAATGTGCACCCCACCACCCAAAATACACCCATCTGTAGTTCCTTCCCTGTGCCTTCATTAGGGGCTTAAGCCCTTGCTCTCCCCTCATCAGATAGGGGAGGGAGTCACTGGGAGTTTCACCCTCCCCTTGTACTCCCTGTCCGGAGAAGTTGCTTTGGGTCTCCCGCCACCTGACCCTTCTAGTGTCTGATGTGGATTTGCTGGAGGATTTGCCCATCCTGGGTTGGGAGCAGTCACTGGGTGTTGTTATCCTCTCCTCCCTATGTAGGAGGAGTGATTCCAGTTGTGACCAGGAGGCTGGGGACCAGAAGGGAAGGGAGAATGGCATCAGGCCCTGTTCCACTTCTGTCTGCAGGATGGGACAGCTATAGTGGCTGTGTCTGGCAGAGGGGTAAAGGGACTATAGGAGCAAAAGGGGGCAAAAGCAAGGGAGCCAGGTGCATCAGCTAGAGCACCTGTGTCCAAAGGAGGTGAGGCAGAGGAGGGAAAGGAGTCCAGGTAGGATCAGTTCCAGCTGCATCCAGGGGACGGGAACAGAGAGCGGGGCATTGGGAAGCTTTTGCATCTGTCCTGGGGGACAGGGGAGAGGCACAGCTGGAGCATTTTAACCTCCACCCCCTACAACAGCAAAGCAACAGATGAGCAAGGTTAATAAACAGTTTATTTGCATTTTACAAGATCAATCTTCTTACATTCTCAATTCATTTGCCATTAAAGTGCTGAAAGATTTTTTTTTTAAATCAAGATACATTTGTTAACAGAAACTATAACAAATATCAGAAAAGTGGCAGTCACAGATTTTTGCACCATAACTAAGAAAAGTCCTCTCTTATAATACAAATAATGAAACAAATATACGGAGACAACTAAGATGGTGTCAGTCGAATCCAACCCAAAACAGGTTAGTCGTTTATTGGTAAATTCTGTTTTTCTTCATGACATTTATCATAAGCAACCCAGATTCTCTAGTCTTAAATTAAACTGGGGGTACTTTTCTTACCACCACAACTATCAAAGCTAATATAAACCACAGCTTTCTGTGATAAACACTCCGTGTCATTTTAAACCCCACATTACAAGGGAAAGTGACATATTTCAGTTGTATCTATATATTTTACAGTGTTTTCAATATATCCATTCTCATTATAGAAATGTAAGCCCTGCAAATAAAAGCCAAAAGGTAATTAAAATGGAAACATTATTTCCATAAACCGACACTGAAAATATCCAGTAAAATGAAAAGGATATCAAAATAGCTTGCTAGTAAACTTAAGCTCTCAGCATTTAACGCGCAAACCAAAGATCATGAACACAAAGAAACTTTCAAATACATCAGATGAACTGTGGTACAGCTCCAGGGTCACTTGCTTTTAAACTCTCCTCTTTTTTGAGTAGGCAACATGACATCTAACATTTCACTAGGCACCATTCATTTTATTGCTGAGGTTGAAAATATTTCAAGCTATGAAATTTATATACAAACACACAGAAGATATATATATATACATACACAGACATATATACACGGACGCTTTACTCTTTCTTTTTGGCAACGGTCAGTTCTACCACTGGCACTCGGAACCCTCCCTTTGTCCCGCTGTCATTACTCGAAGAGGAAGACAGGCGGGATTTCTTGGACGTTAATGAGACCCCACTCCCTGGCATCTTTCCTGCTTCATCGTCACTTCCAGTTACCTCATAAGAACCTTTAGTTTTTGACCCTATCCCTCCAAACGTTCCAAATTTCATCTTGGCCTGCTTTTCTTTCTCTGCTCCTGAGCTGCACTCAAACTCCAAGGTGCCAGTGGGGGTTGACTGGGAGGAATGTTCATCGCTAAAGGAAGATGACCGATGACGTGGCTTTTTGCTTTTAAATAATGAAAACTTCCCTTTAGGTGAAGTGGCAGCAGCTTCCCCTCCCCCCAGTTCACCCTCCATAGAACCTAAACTTGCCTTGGAACTTTTTAAATCTCCTTTAGATCCTGAAATGGACACTGAGGCTTCTGGTGAGCCAACACTGGTGCCTTTGCCTTTAGGTTTTGAAAAATTAAACTTTGGCATCTTAATTTTAGATTTCTTAAGTTTGACATCTGGCTCTTCAAACTCAGCCTCCACTGCACCAGCCTGGAGACTGGCATCTGGCTGAGGGAAGTTAACATCAACCCCTACTTCTCTTCCTGTTACCTCATGCCCTGAAGACACAAATTTAGGCAATTTCATCCTGGGGAATGTCACTTTTCCTGATGCACTTTCTAAGTTACTTTGTGGAAAATTCATATCTATGCCAGGACCTTTGATTCCTACCTTGGGACCTTTCAAACCACCCTCTATCTTTGGTCCAGAAACATGAAGACCCCCTGCAACATTTGGCACATTCATTTCTACATCAAAGCCAGAAGATGAAAGCTGTGGCCCTTTGAATTCACCACCTGAATGCTGAATGCCCAAGTGTGGTGCCCCAACATTTACATCAGGAGCTTTCATGTCTCCAGAAATGCCGAAACCTCCTTTGATTTTAGGTTCTTTCAAATTTACATCAAAATCTGACCCAGAAACTTTTGGTGTTGATACACTGAAGGCAGGACCTGTTAAACTGACATCAGGAGCATCAGCTGCAATACCCACCCCAGAAATCTTCATGCCTTGGGAACCTGAAATGTCACATTTGGGCAGTTTAACTGAAGGCATTTGAAGATTTCCACTTTTGATGCTGATATCTGGTACTTCCACTCCAACTTTTGGGCCTTTAACATCACCAGCACTATTAATATCACCCTTTAGGTTTGGTCCTTTTAAGTTTAAGTCAATGTCAGGTGCAGAGATTTTTGGAGCTGAAACTTGAAGTGGTTGCATTTTAAATGTAGGCCCTTTCAATTCTCCATCAATCCCTGAGCCAGTAAGGTCTCCTTTAATTTGTGGTCCTTCAATACTCACACCCATGTTAGACCCCTCAACATGAGGACTAGAAATGCCAAATTGGGGGAGCTTCAGTGAAGGAAGTTTAATTGCACCTCCTGGACCTTCCAAGTTAACATCTGGCGCATCTACAGCCACTTTTGGGGATTTAATGCCACCAGAAAGATCAAAATCTCCTTTTAACTTTGGTCCTTTCAAATTTACATCAAAATCTGGGGCAGAAATACCTACCGATGGCATTTTCACTGTAGGCCCTTTGATATCAAGGTCTGGGGCACTGAGATGTACATCCATACCTGGTGCTTTCATGCCCCCCTCAATTTGTGGGGCAGAAAATCCAATGTCCCCTTTCATGTTCAGATCTGCTTGAGGTCCCTCCAAAGTTGGAGATTTAAATTTGGGCATTTTAAACTTTCCTCCAAAGCCTTTCATATCAACATCTGGTGCATGTATGTCCACCTTTGGACCTTTAAGGTCACTAGAAACATCCAGGTCTCCTTTTAGTTTTGGTCCTTTCAAATTTACATCAAAATCAGGTCCAGAGACTTGGGGCATTGAAAGGTTTACTGATGGCATAGTCACCTTAGGTCCCTTCAGTTTTGCATCTACTCCTTCAGTTGCAGGAACACTCACACCTCCTTCAATTCTTGGAGCTGATACATCCACGCTTGCTGAGGGGAGTTGCATATCAGCTCCTTCTAAATTCAGACCTGGTTTCCCTATCTTGGGCAGTGAGAACTTGGGGAATTTTAGTTTTCCTTCTGGACCTTCCAGGTCTGCTGTGGGAAGACTGACATCACCTTTTACTTTTGGTCCTTTCAAGTTAATATCAAGATCAGATGCAGAGAATGAAGGAGCAGAAATGTCCACTGAAGGCAGATTCACTGTAGGTCCTTTAAGTTTGATGTCAGGGGCATTAATGTTTGTGTCAATACCTGGGATTCTCAGATCACCTTCCATTTTTGGACCAGCTATATCAATATTTCCACTTGGAAGTTTGACCTTAGGTTTCTTAAGATTGATATCAGGACCTCCAATGTTAACATCAGGAAGATTTGCGCTGATACTGGGGGCTGTAATGTCAAGACCTGATGACTTTATATCACCTTTGATACCTGGTGTGGAAACCTCCAAATCGGGTGCTTTAAATTCTCCTTCCATTTTAGGAACTGTCACAGAAGCATCAGCTTTGAACTTAGGTGATTTAATATCAAACTCAACATCTGGAAAAGAGATTTTCCCAAACATTGGTTTCTTTCCTTTTGGGGATTTGACATTAATATCTCCTTTTATTGTTGCCTCTGGGCCAGTTACATTGAGATCTAAATCAGGAGATTTCAAATTTGCATCAATCTCACCACTGGGTAGACTCATATCAAATCCACCCTTCTTTCCTTTAATTTTAGGGCCACTCATATGAAGTTTAGGCATTTTAAATTTGCTTTTTTTTCCTTTGCCAGAAATGCCAATATCAGGAGACTCCACATTCAGTTCACCTTCCGGGACAGCAATATCCACTTCAGGAGATTTGATTTCTGCCTTAGGACTTTTAATTCCAAACCCAAATTTTGGTTTCTTAAATTTGGGAAGTTTAACATTTCCCTCAAGGCCCTCAGTGGTAACATCTGGACACTCAACATCAAGCTCAGGACTTCTAACCCCAAATTCTGGGCCTTTGATATCAACTTCAGGACCTTTAAGATTACCCTCAATCTTGGGAGCAGAAACATCAAAGTCCCCCTTCATTTTATGACCTTTCAAATTTAAGTCAATGTCTGGCATTGAGATTTTGGGTGTCTTAAAATGCATCTCAGGCATCTTAAATTTTGGCCCTTTCAGTTTTCCTTCTGGACCTTCAATGTTCAAATCAGGAGCACCAATATCTATCTTAGGACCTGAAATATCAACCTCTCCCTTTGGAAGACTTACATCCACATCCGGGCCTTCCCCTTTGAACCCAGGTGTACTGAATTTAGGCAGCTTCATTTTGGGTAATTTCAGTTTTCCTTCAGGGCCATGAATATCGATGTCTGGTGCATCAATGTCCACTTTGGGACCTTTGATATCAAATTCGGGACCTTTCAAATCACCCTCTATTTTTGGACCAGAAAGATCTATGTCTCCTTTCAGTTTAGGTGCCTTTAGATTCAGGTCTACATCTGGCATGGAGATTTTAGGGGCCTTGATGTGCATTTCAGGCATCTTAAATTTGGGACTTTTCAGTTTTCCTTCTGGCCCTTCAATGTTGATATCAGGTGCATCTATGTCCAATTTGGGGCCTTTAATGTCAATTTCAGGACCTTTCAAATTCCCTTCTAATTTTGGAACAGAAACATCCATGTCTCCCTTCAGTTTAGACCCCTTTAAATTCAAGTCAAAATCTGGCATGGAGATTTTGGGTGCTTTAATATGCATTTCTGGCATCTTAAATTTAGGACCTTTCAGTTTTCCTTCTGGACCATCAATGTCAAGATCAGGAACATCAACAGACATTTTGGGGGATTTAATGTCTATCTCTGGACCTTTTAAATCACCTTCTATCTTAGGGACAGAAACATCCATGTCTCCTTTAATTTTAGGGCCTTTTAAGTTTAAATCAATGTCTGGCATGGAGATTTTAGGTGCCTTGATATTCATTTCAGGCATCTTAAATTTTGGACCTTTCCATTTCCCTTCAGGCCCTTCAATATCCAAATTGGGGGCATCAATGTCTATCTTAGGACCCGAAATATCAACCCCTCCTTCTGGAAGATTTACATTCACATCCGACCCTTCCCCTTTGAACCCAGGCATGCTGAATTTAGGAAATTTCATTTTGGGCATTTTCAGTTTTCCTTCTGGGCCATGAATATCGATGTCTGGTGCATCAATGTCCACTTTGGGACCTTTGATATCAAATTCAGGACCTTTCAAATCCCCTTCCAACTTAGGTCCAGAAACATCTAGATCTCCTTTAAGCTTAGGGCCCTTAAGATTGAAATCCACATCAGGCATTGACATTTTAGGTGCCTTAATATGCATGTCGGGCATCTTAAATTTGGGGCCTTTCCATTTCCCATCTGGACCTTCAATCTCCACATCAGGGGCGTCTATGTCCAGTTTGGGGCCTTTGATATCAACTTCTGGGCCTTTCAAATCCCCTTCTAATTTTGGTACAGAAACATCCACATCCCCCTTCACTTTAGGGCCTTTCAAATTAAAGTCAATGTCTGGCATGGAGATTTTAGGAACATTGAAATGCATTTCAGGCATCTTAAATTTGGGACCTTTCAGCTTTCCCTCTGGACCTTCAATATCCAAATCAGGAGCATCAATGCCTACTTTTGGACCTGAGAGATCAATCTCCCCTTTTGGAAGGCTTACATCCATGTCTAGTCCCTCCCCTTTGAACCCAGGCATTCCAAACTTGGGCATTTTGAATTTGGGCATTTTGAGTTTACCCTCTGGGCCGTGAATATCCACATCTGGTGCATCAATGTCAACTTTGGGGCCTTTGATATCAAACTCAGGACCTTTCAAATCCCCTTCCAGTTTAGGGCCAGAAACATCCACATCTCCCTTGATTTTAGGACCCTTCAAATTCAAATCAAAGTCTGGCATGGAGATTTTAGGTGCTTTAAAATGCATGTCAGGCATCTTGAATTTGGGGCCTTTCCACTTCCCATCTGGACCTTCAATCTCCACATCAGGGGTGTCTATGTCCAGTTTAGGGCCTTTGATATCGATTTCTGGGCCTTTCAAATCCCCTTCTAATTTTGGAACAGAAACATCCACATCCCCCTTCAATTTAGGGCCTTTCAAATTCAAATCAATGTCCGGCATGGAGATTTTAGGAACATTGAAATGCATCTCAGGCATCTTAAATTTAGGACCTTTCAGCTTTCCCTCTGGACCCTCAATGTCAAAATCTGGAGCATCTATGTCCAATTTGGGGCCTTTAATATCAACTTCTGGGCCTTTCATATCACCTTCAAAATCTGGTACGGAAACATCCACATCCCCCTTCACTTTAGGGCCTCTCAGGTTCAAATCAAAGTCTGGCATGGAGATTTTAGGTGCTTTAAAATGCATGTCGGGCATTTTAAATTTGGGACCTTTCCATTTTCCCTCTGGGCCTTCAATCTCCACATCGGGGGCATCTATGTCCAGTTTAGGGCCTTTGATATCGACTTCAGGACCTTTCAAATCACCTTCTAATTTTGGAACACAAACATCCACATCCCCCTTCAATTTAGGGCCTTTCAAATTCAAATCAATGTCCGGCATGGAGATTTTAGGGGCCTTGATATTCATTTCAGGCATCTTAAATTTTGGACCTTTCCATTTTCCTTCTGGTCCTTCAATCTCCACATCAGGAGCATCAATGTCTATTTTAGGTCCTGAAATATCAATTTCCCCCTTTGGAAGACTTACATCCACATCTGGTCCCTCTCCTTTGAACCCAGGCATTCCGAATTTGGGCATTTTGAATTTAGGCATTTTGAGTTTACCCTCTGGGCCTTGAATATCCATGTCTGGTGCACCAATCTCCACTTTGGGACTTCTGATATCAATTTCAGGCCCCTTCAAATCTCCTTCCATCTTAGGGCCAGAAACATCTATGTCTCCCTTCAGTTTAGGGCCTTTGAGGTTAAAATCAATGTCAGGCATTGAGACTTTCGGTGCCTTGATATTCATTTCAGGCATCTTAAATTTGGGGGCTTTCCATTTTCCTTCAGGACCTTCAATATCAAGATCTGGAGCATCAATGTCCACTTTGGGACCTTTGATATCAAACTCAGGCCCTTTCAAATCCCCTTCTAGCTTTGGTACAGAAACATCTACATCCCCCTTCACTTTAGGTCCTTTCAGATTCAAATCAAAATCTGGCATGGAGATTTTAGGTGCTTTAAAATGCATATCAGGCATCTTAAATTTGGGACCTTTCCACTTGCCGTCTGGGCCTTCAATCTCCACATCAGGGACATCTATATCAACTTCAGGGCCTTTCAAATCCCCTTCTAGTTTTGGTACAGAAACATCCACATCTCCCTTCAATTTAGGGCCTTTCAAATTCAAATCAATGTCTGGCATGGAGATTTTAGGAACATTGAAATGCATTTCAGGCATCTTAAATTTAGGGCCTTTCAGTTTTCCATCAGGAGCTTCAATTTCCAAATCTGGAGCATCAATGTCTATCTTGGGACCTGAAACATCCACCTCCCCTTTTGGAAGTTTTACATCCATATCTGGTCCCTCTCCTTTGAACCCAGGCATTCCAAATTTAGGCATTTTCAATTTTGGCATTTTGAGTTTACCCTCTGGGCCATGAATATCAATGTCTGGTGCACTGATGTCTATTTGGGGGCTTTTGATGTCAACTTCAGGCCCTTTTAAATCCCCTTCTAGCTTTGGGCCAGAAACATCTAGGTCTCCTTTCAGTTTAGGCCCTTTCAGATTTAACTCCACATCTGGCATTGACACTTTAGGTGATGAAATGCTTAGGAAAGGCATTTTAAATTTAGATCCTTTTGCTTTCCCCTGAATGTCCACATCTGGAGCACTCACATCCACCTTTGGTCCAGAAATATCAATATCAGATTTCTTAAGTTTCACATCCACATCAGGGGTTTGAACTTTAGGGCCAGAAAAACTGAATTTAGGAAGTTTAAATCTCGATTTTTTTGTCTTTCCTTCTATATCAAGTTTTGGAGCCTCAAGATCAATATCTGGTCCTTTGACTTCAACTTTGGGACCTTTCAAATCACCCCCTACTTTGGGAAGAGAAACATCCACATCTCCCTTCAGTTTAGGACCTTTCAAATTTAAATCGATATCTGGCATGGATATTTTAGGAACGTTAAAATGCATTTCAGGCTTCTTAAATTTAGGACCTTTCCATTTTCCTTCTGGCCCCTCAATTTCCAAATCAGGAGCATCAATGTCTACTTTTGGACCCGAGAGATCGATCTCCCCTTTCGGAAGGCTTACATCCACATCTGGTCCCTCCCCTTTGAACCCAGGCATTCCAAACTTGGGCATTTTGAACTTAGGCATTTTGAGTTTACCCTCTGGGCCATGAAGATCCACATCTGGTGCATCAAGGTCAATTTTAGGGCCTTTGATGTCAAACTCAGGCCCCTTCAAATCACCCTCAATCTTTGGAACAGACACATCCACATCTCCCTTCAGTTTAGGACCTTTTAAGTGTAAATCAACATCTGGCATGGAGATTTTGGGTGCCTTGATGTGCATTTCAGGCATCTTAAATTTGGGACCTTTCAGTTTTCCTTCTGGCCCTTCAAAATCCAAATCAGGAGCATCAATGTCTACTTTTGGACCTGAGAGATCAATCTCCCCTTTCGGAAGGCTTACATCCACGTCTGGTCCCTCCCCTTTGAGCCCAGGCATTCCAAACTTGGGCATTTTGAACTTAGGCATTTTGAATTTACCTT